GAAGTAAGCTTCAACATCTCTTCTAACCTTTTCTCTACCTTTAAATACATAAATGTCGATTTCACATGTATTCATGAATCACACTGGTCATCATTACAACAGTAATGAAAGCTTGAAATAACTTAAAGTGTGTTAATAGCAAATAGTTAAAGAGAATATAGCTCTTCCAGGGAATGCTAAGTGAACAGTTTTTAAAAAGAGCTATTGCAGGAATATACTTTTTGAAATGGAAAGATATTTACAATGCATTGCTTATGTCAAAAAGGAGAAACTTTTTGGTTACTACAATTAAAGCTTTAACAATTAGTTTAAAACTGGGGAGGGAAGCTGAGTATAGAAGTGCATGACTGTAATCCTAGCACTCAGAAGGCTGAGGCAGGAGGATTGCTGGGAGTTCAAGACCAACCTGGGATACATAGTGAATTCAAAACCAGCCTCAACTATGTAGCAAGACCTTGCCTCAAAGCAAAACTCCAAAATAATTTTATTTATTTATTTTATTTTATTTTATTTTTTGGAGACAGGGTCTCACTATGTAGTTGAGACTGACCCGGAACTCACTATGTAGCCCAGGCTGGTCTTGAACTCACAGCGATCCTTCTGCCTCAGCCTCCTGAGTGCTGGGATTACAGGTGTGCACCACCACGCCCGGCTCCAAAATAATTTTAAATTAAAACTACTCACTATGTCCCAGGCTGGTCTTGAACTCACAGCGATCCTTCTGCCTCAGCCTCCTGAGTGCTGGGATTACAGGTGTGCACCACCACGCCCGGCTCCAAAATAATTTTAAATTAAAACTTCAAACTAATTTTTAAAGGGGAGGATACAAAATTGTAGATACAGTGCTATGCTTTTATTTTCGTGTGAAAAATAAATTTTGGGGCCAAGCACAATATCTAATTTAATGCTCAAGCCCTTGGGAAAAACAGTTTTTCCTCATAGAAACTTAAGGTCTCCAGCAAAAAATAAGGGGGAAAGTTGCCAGCATGGGGAGGACATGGAGCTCTGAGTCTCCAGCAGGTAAGGCAATGTGTCCTGTGTACCCAGTTCCTGGGGAGGTTGAGTCCCTCCTGAAGTCTGCAGTTGGGACCTGTGGAGGGACTTAGGGAAGGTGTCACCACTTGGGGATATATGTGCCTGGAGCCTGGGTATTGTTGGGCTCCAACCTACCTATGTCACCACCTGATCCCCCTTCTCAGGGACAATCCAGTGAGAGGGCAAAAGAAGACACCCAGGGGGCGAAACAACAGAAGGGGAGCAGAGGTTCAAGAACACAGGGTGAGGTGGATTAATTTTTCTGGAATTTCTTTTGTGAGAAATCCAGGCCATACCAAAACCCCCAAGTCCTTCACTGTTGGGCAGAGTACTTTATTGTTGTTGTTGTTGTTTTTTTTTCCTGAACTCCCTACCTCAAGCAGGTGAGGACTTGCTAACTTGTACAGGAATCCTTCATGCATGTTCTCTGCAGGTAACTACCCACCCAGACCCAGCCACCCTCGTTAGGGTATGCAGGTCTCCTCTCCTTCCTCTGACATGACTGCTCAGGTCAGAGCTGCAGTGGTGCCCAGGGTGACCTGGTTGTTGGCTCCTGGTGGCAGGCAAGGCCTTTCTGCAGGACCAGGGGCAGGGACAGAGGCAGAGCTAGGACAAGGCTGAAGATGATGCGAAGGCCCAAGACCAGGGCTGACTCAGACAAAACGGAAGCAAGCCTGAGGTGTCTGTGTCAATCTGTGGGAGGAGTATTTACTCCACATTTCATATGGTGTGAGGGTAATGCAAAGGGGAGATATATTGCCTGGAATCACTCCAAAATAAGAAATTACCAGGCAAAAGTCTTGAATAATTGCAGAGATGGAGTTGTAATCTGGAATTACATGTGGTCAATATTTTATTTGCTCTGGTGATTCCCCTTTGAAATTAGTGCCTCATTTGGAAGCAATGAATTTCAGAAGTGAGCACCAAGTACGGAACACCTTTAGAGGACACATCCAGCACCCCTAAAGTCATACCAGGGAAACAGCTATCTACACTGCCAAAGATACAGTTACCAGGCTTGCACCAGGAGAGGCACTTGTCAGCTCTTACATCAAAGCAGCTGCCATTGCCCCTTGTCATTTTCTGGCAATTATTTGACGTAGTTTTAATTGTTAAAGTCTTCTGAAACCTTATTGTAACACTAGCATTTTTATTTCTTACTTTTAAAAAAGTACATCATTATATACTGGTTAGCAGATAACCAAATCTACTTGGCCTTTGATTTATAAATTAGACTTTACAATCTATAACGTCCCAGGTTGAGACGCATTAGGATCTGAGCAGGAAACCCAGTTCTGTGGGTGGGACCAAGCTAAAGTTCATTTCTCCACCCGCCTTAGACTAATGAGATTATCGTGGTTGCATTCCTTTTAATTTTATTTCCCTCTTTATTTGCCTGGTTAATGGCGGTGCAAGTTCCTTGAACCTGAATTCCTGATAGTTTGTGCTTCCCTAAAGAACTTGTAAGAAGGCAAGGCCCACAGGCTATTTCATGCCCCATTATCCAGTTGAAATATGACAGTTGCTCATTTTCTCTGTCAACATCCTAAGTGTCTACAATATTAGAGATGAAAGGAGCTGATACCTATTATCTTGTTCAATCCTTCATTTTACAGATGAGAAACCGACTCCGTTGAGAAGATAAATAACTTGTCTGAGTTTCCACAGTACAGAACTAGGACTAGAATTCTGGCCTCCAACTTTGAAGCTGAAAACTTTTTCATAATTAAAAACACCATCTTGGGGTTGGGGAATGGTGTCCCTCACCACAGGGTTTTGTGTTCATAACTCTCCATCATGGGGCTGGGCAGGCGGGGATCTCAGGTATCCAGGACTGGGCGCCAGGGCTCCCTGTGGCCTTACATTCCTCAGCTTAATGTTCCTTGGCCTAATGTTCTGAGGCTTTACATTCCAGGACCCATCCTGGGAGCCAGGAGGGGTTGGATTTGAGGGGCCTGTGAGACAGATCACAGGGAACTCTATAGTTCTTTGGGTCCTTGATGGGGGCTTTGGAAGAAATCTTGGCTCACAGAGATCTTGACAAAGAAGGAAGAGGAGATGGAGGCCCCGGTGTCCTCCTTATCTCCAGAGGAGGGAAGAATTCAGGGATCCTTATGTCTCCTGGAAATGACTTGCAATGAAGAACTTTGAGAAGTGCTTTGGTCTGAAAGCAAAAAAGACCATGCTAGGAATGAATAGTCTCCCTGAGGCTGCCTCAACTCCATGAGCTGGGCACAATTGGTCAACTTCTCCATCTGTACTTGTCCAACTTTGATTCTGCTAATTAAGATGAATTGGACACAAATTTATCCTGCAATTCATTTTCTCTTCAGAAGGCACAGGGAGAAAAGCATATTGTAGGGAATGTTTCCTCTTTTCCTTGGCAAGCCCAGGGCTGAGCTCAAGCCTGTAACAAGTGAGGTCAAAAGTAGACTGGTAGTGAGGGCCTCCTTACTTGCATGGTTTCTTCTAAAGTAGTGATAAGAACTGTTGTGATGTGTTCACTAACAATGTGCCTTTGTTTTTTGTTTGCTTGGTTGATGGATTTTGGTTTTGGTTTTTTGGAAGAGGTTTTCCCTATGTTTCAGGATGGTCTTGAACTTACCATGCAGCCCAAAGCTGGCCTCAAGTTCACAGTGACCCTTCTGCCTCAGCCACCCAAGTGCTGGGATTTTAGGCAAGTTCCAGCACATTCAGCAGCAATGTCTTTGTGCAACTTGTAAAAGCAAAAGGTTTCAGCCAGCATTGAATATAGGTTTGTCTCTTTCTCCTGCCAGCACCCTGCCTCTAAACCTTGCATCAGGTGGTATTTAAAAAGGCCATAAACACTTTCAGGATTTGGCAAAGGAGAAGTTAAGAGAGGGTACATTTTGAAAGAATGTATTGGAATTCATTTGTGTGGTTCAAGACCACTGAAAGACTTTGTGTAGTTAATTTATTGCTAACCATCTTTGAGTAATCGTGGTTTCCAGAAATGCTCCTCCTACTGCTATGCCAGCTCATCTGATGCCACAAAACAAAGACACAAGAGCACAGGTGGCATTGTGATGCCATATGTCCTCTAGCACCTGGGATTCAGCATGTAGAAGCAGTGATTGAAAAACAAGATTTGAAGTGTATGGAGCCAGAAGCTATCTGTGGAAAGGTTGATATGCACAGTTGGCAAAGTCTTGGTTCTCATTGATGTCTAAGGCAAAAATGGAAGTGTTCAATCAAGATTATACTTTCACCAAGTGTGGTAGCACAAGCCTATAATCCCACCTACTTGAGAGGCTGAGGCAAGAGGATTGCAAGTTCCAGCCTGGGCAACTGATTGAGACCTTGTCTTAAAATAAAAATAAAAAGGTATGGAGCCAGGGATTTAGCTCAGTGGTGCTGCATATGCCTTGCAAGCACAAGGTCCTGAGTTTAATTCCTGGTAGTGAAAAAATTAAAAGGTTTGGAGATGTGGCTCAGTAGCTTGTCTAACAGTACAAGGTCCTGGGCTCAATCCCCAGTACAATACATACAAAATAATTGTACTTATTATAGTGCACACACACACTTACAAATACACCATGTATTTTTAAAGCTTTTATAAGGATCGTGTACAACACACTTTATCAGAACTCCTGTGTTTGTAGGGAACAGTCTAAATCGGTACTACAGACTCTGTGTGAAGTCATAATACATCCTAGTTAGCAATAATAAACACTTTGGACCAACCCAGGATAGCTGAATTATGTGTCCTTCTCACAACAAAATAAGGATGATTAAAGAGGATAAAACCATAAAATGCAAAGGTGGGAGAGTATTACTGTTAGAGAGCTACATAAGAAAAAATTCATCTTGTTACTTTTTGGAATTTGTGGTCTTTATCTGGTTTTTAAAATTTGTGATTTGCTGTGACTGCCTTTTCTATTTAAATAAATGTTCTTCTTTGTACATGATTTTATACTCGTAATTTTCTGTTCTTTTTCTTAAAGGGACACCAAAATCTTTAAAAGCTTGAGGCTCTACAACCCTGAATCAGGTCCAACAACCTTGGACTACATGCTAAAGAGATATTAAAGGAAGAAGGCCCTGGACAAACAGGTTTGGTACGAGAGAGGTAAACAGGACCCACAGAGGGGAATCTACCAGGAAGGTGGTAACGCAAAGACACCTCATGTGCGGAAGAGTCGTGGTTAGGAATGTGAAGAGAGGATGTGTGGCTCTGAGGGAAAGGGCTCCAAGGACACAGTTTCCAGACTCCACAGTTCTTCCCAGCCCATCTCTTGAATCAAAGGCTGCCATTTTACCCAAGCTGACTTTAGCAGCCCGCATTGCACAAGAAGGACTTGATGGTTTGAAAAATCAAAAAGGTAATTCAACAGATTATAGAATTGTCTCAGTGTCCACTGCCTGCCTCACAAGCACAAGGGCCCAAGTTCAATCCCCAGTACCAAAAAAAAAAAGAATTATCTCAATGATATTGTCAGGTAGAAGGGGCACATACAAGGTATGATTGAAAAATGTAGGGAATGTTTAAAATTTTTAAGTATTATCATAAAAGACATATTACCATTAGGTCCCCTTGAAATACCGCCCCCCCACGCACACACACTCTGATTGCACTTATCCCATTATTCTTGCCCCTTTCTGAAGCTGTCTAGAAGTCCTCTTTTGCGGGAATCTTTAGTTGCATTGTCACGTCTGCCTTGCTGTCCTGAATCAATTCGAATGTTTACCTTTCCTGGTAATTTTGATGGTGCCAGATCAGGTGAATAAATTTCATGAGGACACACTATAATGTTTTTGCAAGCCTACCTTTCCATTGGATGCCATAATGGCATTCACTGTATTTTTTATCGTATCTCGTAAAGACACTCATAAAAGAGAACTTCCAGAACTGCTTCAGAAAATGGCCAGAATAGTGGAAAAAGTGCATTCATTTCTCCAAGAAAGGAGGAATATTTGGGGGGAGGGCTAATGGCAATGTGTTTTTTACTGTAATAATTTTTTTAAAGTTAAACATTCACCCTATAATCACCCTTTGTACACTTGTGGCTTTATGTCACATGTCTCTAACCACATTGCTAGTTCAGTGAATGTTTACACATCTACCCAGAGAAGAATTCCTCTTCGCTTCACTGGGAACATTTCCTGAACATGAGCATCATATTTATTGCTTTGGCAGATCCAGAGCTGAACATGTGACTTAAGCTGGGCCAATCAGCTCTTCACTGGAATTTTAAAATGTGAGACTAGCTAAACAGTACCCTCTTACTTATGAGTGGTGAGTATTTGGACAGCACTCCTGTCTCCCACATTAACTTTGTGCCAATTTGACTGAATTAAGGGATGCCCAGAAAGCTGGTAGACCATTCTTGGGTGTATCTGTAACAGCGTTTCTAGAAGAGATTGGTATTCAAATCAGTAGACTGAGTACAGAAGATCTTCTGCATTGGTGTGGGTCAGTTTCAGCCTATCCATTGAAGATCCAGACAGAACAAAATGTCCATGGAAATACAGATTCTCCCTCTCTTCTTGGGCCTGGAAACCATCTTCTCCTGCCCTCAGATCTTGGTGTTCCTGGGTTTCTAGATTTCAGACTCAGACTGGGACTTACACCACTGACCTCTCACCCTCCAGCTCACCCCTTAATCCAGCCCAAATCACACCACCATCTTCCCTGGTTTTCCAGCATGCAGGTGGCAGACCACAGAGCTCTTGGCTCCCTAACTGCATGGTACATAGCTGTGTGCATCCTACTGATTCAGCTGCCCTGGAAGGGTCTGACTGATGCACATGTCCACATTCATGCATAAAAGACACCTGTGGATCAAATCACAGGTTGGCAGCTAGTCTCCCTCAGCACCCAGATTCCAAAGCAGAGCTCCAAGGAGTCAGAGAAATGTCAATCCAAACTCAGACTTCTAGGTAGGATGATTGGGATATTTTGTATCCATTTTCCAGCTGGGGTTATAAAGTTCTAATATGTACACATGGGATACCTGAGTCTCCATCAGGGCCTTACAAATATTAGGGGCAGGCCTGAGCAGAGACTAGGAGAAGCCCTGTGGCACTGGGGTCCCTGGTGTGCCATGTTCCTGTGGCACAAATGCACCCTGCTTTCTCTTGGTTTGGTCTTTTCAGTTAATAAGAAAATATTTCTGTGCAAGCCAATCTTAATTTGTTTCTTTCGGTCAGCACCTAACAGATCATAGGTGCTGGAGATGGAAGTTGAACCTGGCTTGGGCTCTGCTCCTGCTCCACACCAACTTTATGACCACCTCCCCAGCAAGAGACCAAGACCTTGTACACAAATACCCCAGCAGGTAAGAGCCATGATCCACAAGGAGCAGTTTTACCTACCTGACCCCTAAAAACACCTGCAGGAGAGTGCAGATGCCAGAGACGAAAAAAATGGTGCTGATGAGGTAGCTCTGTGTCAGAGGGTCATGCTGTAGGCACAGGTCCTTGGCCAGGATGAGAGGCACTGCCACGAGTCCCCCCAGGGCTGTGAGGAAGTGCTGTGGGCAGAGTGAGGAGATGGGCATGTGAGTACTGTGGTGCCTGCCATAGCTCACTCCCCCAAGCAGGAGTGCAGTCCACCCCTTCTCAGGGACTTCTCCCTATGGTCAGAGGTAAGAGCTCTGCAGCTGGTCTGGAAGGGACCTGTACAAAATGGTAGGCTAAGCTGCAGACAAACAGTCCAGAGTGGACATCTGGACTAGGAGGCCTGGCAGTAAGAAGCAGGGCCCAGCCAGAGCTGATATATTAGAGGAGAAACCAAGGCAAGCACACAAGCACAGGAGGGAATAACAGGAACCAAGTGGGGCCATAAAAACAGGAACAGGGATCATCATTACACAAGGCACATGGCAGGAGTAACCATTGACGGGGCTGGCCTGAACACTAACTTAGAACCGGGGGCCAAGGGCTTTTTGAGCTTCCCCAGATGGAACAGAGTTCAGGAAAGGGCAGAAAGTCATAGCAAGTGGCATCACCTATAAAGGGAATAAATTAGATCTAGATGACAGAAAGATAGATGATGGATGGATAAGATGGATGGATGGACAGACAGACAGACGGGAGGTAGATAGACGTGAGGGCCAAGCAATCAAGACCAGTCAGGGATGGGCCATTAGCTCATACCCTCTAGCGCAGAGCAGAAAGGTTGACCAGGCCTCGGTGAAACTTCCTAAGAACAGTAACGTGAATCCACCTGCTTCTCTTCTTTGCTCCAGTTTAATCTGTTCTGTGATAACTTAGGTGAGTTCTCAGCCAGAATCTTCACAGGATCTCCTATTCCTGGTGCTAACAGAAGCCCTCTAATGTGCTGTCATCAGGAGGAGCTGATGTCCAATTGTAGGTTTATCCCATAGTGTAGATTCTCCACCTGATCCTATACAATTACACATGAATCAAGCCAGGGTTGGCAAGCTGGGTTTGGCTTGGCTTAGCAGCTGGGCCAGTCAGGAGAGGAAAGAAGGAAGGAAGGGAGGAAGGAGGGGAGGGAGGGAAGAAGGAAGGAAAGAAGAGAGGGAGGGAGAGAGGGAGGAGTTAGCTTGCTGTGAGGGGCAGTGCCCTTCAGAACTGACATTACAGTGTTGTTATGGTAGAATTAGACCACAAGACTCAGAATGACTGATCTTGCCTTGCCCCGGCAAGTCTTTCCTAACATGCTGTGTGACACTTGAACGAAGGAGGCAAAGGAAGGCAAATTATCATGGTCTTATTTTGGGGGGCTATGATCCAAAACCTCAATGTGAGCTAAATTAAACCACAAGAAAAATTGGGCTTTTTTTTTTTTAGAAAAATGAAAACTAAAATGTATCCATATAGTGCACCTACCTGTTTTCCCTGTTCCGTCTTCCCACAGGCAAAGGTGGGTCTCAGAATGTACTAGTCCATCAGGACAGAGACCTGTACCACCCCATGCTAGAGCAGGACAGCAAGAGAGCAGGTTCTGTTTGCATTACTTGGAAGAGGCCTGGGCCCCAAAAGAAGATTGAATCAGCCACCTGGGGAGAGAGGGGCCCCAGTCCCTCCAGCCACATGGATGACAACAGCGGAGGACAGAGATGGCAGTGGAGTGAATGGCCAGGTCTTCTTTAAAGAGCAGTTCCAGCTCTGGTCACCACAACAGCCACATCCCAAAGGGACAGTCCTTTAATAGTCCTTGCTGTTGCTCCTTTGTCCCCTTGGGATACTTGACATGAGAAGTTCAGTCCTTCATGGCCTGTGGCAAATGTGTCTTTGACTCACTGTCAGCTAGATCATGACAGGCACAATATCCTCCAGGCCCAGAACCCACAGTGTTCATTCCCTGTCTCATACCATGTCCAGCAACACTGGCTAACTAAACCAATAACTACACCAACCAGAAGGGGCAACTCCCTCTTGTTATCCAGTAAATATCTTGATCTTAGAGAACCCAGGGCAGTTGGTGGAATCTGAATCAGACAGAATCTACAGCTTGTAGAGGTTGCTTCAAGGAAGATACTTGACCTAATACAACTCTGACCTCCCAAGGGCCTTGCCCAACTGAAGAGGACATTTAACCAACTCATTCAAAAGAACAAGGGACCAGTCAGCTCAGCGTGAGGAAGAATCCTTTTCTAACACCCATTCCCCTCCTCTAGAGAGAAAGGTCAACGACACAGAAGCTATGCCAGCAACTGCGGTTGGTAATGTTGACTGGATTATCAGGCTGTGCATGGCTATAGCTTTTAAGGCAAAGCCTCTTTGGACTGAATGCCTGGTAAGGGGCCTTACCTGGATCCCTAAAAAGATGCAGAGATGCCATGGTGGGACGTCCAAGATGCTATAGGCCAGGTGGCTGCTGCTGCTGCTGGGACTCTTGGGCTGCCCATCCCTCTTCCTGTCGAGGCCATCAGCATGGGGGCTGAGTAATCCCTCATCCATCTGCTGGGAACAAGAGAAAGAACAACACATCTGGGCACTTTAAGAGGAGTTAGGAGGACATCCTGTCTTAAATGGGAAATAGGTCAGCATTTCCAGAGACAAGAGGAAGTGGGACTGGGAAAAACATTAGCCAAGTAGAGTTTAAGGTCCAGACCCAAGACCAGCGACTTTCTGTGGTTTGCATCTGCAGCTGGGCCTCTGTGTAAAGAACAGGTCATGCAAGCGCCTTACCCAAATTCCCTGCAGAGAGGCAGCTTTATGGGAGTGTAAAGTGCTACCTTAAAGGCTTTGAGATGGGCAGGTTTCCCTCACAGCTCCCGGGGTCCTGAGTTTACACCTGCCAAAGCCCTCTGACAGCACCTTTACTACAATGGATAGTTCCCTTCTCCGTTGCTTCTCCTAGTTAGTCCCAGAATGCTTTGATTGTGCTTTACTTCGTCATCTCAGCTTCCAGTGCAGTCCCCGTGCTCAATGCACATTGAATGAATGAATGAATGAACCACCCTACTGGAAACATACACCATACATACAGAATAGTCTAGAGCAGTGGTGGTGAATCTTTTAGAGACAAGTGCCCAAACTGCAACCCAAAACCCACATATTGTAAAGTGCCAACACCACAATTAAACCTTAATACTGAGGTTTAAATTTAGGAAAAACAATTCATACATTAACATCTTTTGTCTTAAAAGAAAAACAGTGTGTATGCCAAGGTTTGCCAACACTAGTCTAGATTCGATAGCCAACTTGCATTCCAACCAGTTTAGTCAAAATTAACTTTGAATCATAGACTTTCCATCCAACTTTTTGGCTGTATAGCTTGCTAACTTTGGACAAATTATTAATGTTTCTAAATCTCAGAGTTTGTGGTTTTGTGGTTTTGTTGTTGTTGCTGTTGTCGTTGTTGTTGTTGGTTGAGACAGGGTCTTGCTACGTAGTCCAGACTGGCCTTGAACACACTGTGTAGCCCAGGCTTGCCTTGAACTCACTATGATCCTCCTCCCCGTGAGGCAGCCACCACCACACCTGGGTTTCAGTTTTCTTATCTACAGACCATGCTTCCGTGAAAATAAGATCTATCTGGAAAACAAATAGGCTTGAAAACTAGAGATGAGAAGGCCAGCCCCATCAGCCCATCCTTGGCTCACCTGCCTTACAGAGCTGCCTCTGAGCAAAGGAATAGTGATGGCAGGTAAGGCAGGGACGGGCTGACAGGGCTGGCATTTTTAGTTTTCACGGCTGATTTTTTCTAGAAAGGTCTTATTTTTAGGAAAAGAGGGTAAAAGAAGTAGTACTACCCCCAATGGATGATTGAAATAAATGAATTATAGCATGAAGGACTTAGTCCAGGGATTGGCAGAGTGTAATTGCCCAATAAATACCAGCTATTATCAGTACTATTACCTCCATAAGTGCCAGGGCTTTGAACATGTGACCAAGGACAACACCTGTATATCTGGTCATAGGTGAGAGGGACCTGAAAACAATGAAAACATTGTCTTTGGTGTAGCCAGAAGGTGGCAAGGACACCAACATGAAAACGAGACCATTCTAGGTGACATCCCCAAGGGTGTCCCGGGCCAGGCAGGACCGGGAAGTCATCCAGTCAACACCCATCTCCAGCCTAAATGCCCTGTGCTACAGCCCGGCCTCAAAGAACAGCTTCTGCACAGGGCCATGCTGAGACACTCCAGGGAAGATGCTGGACTCTGACTCTGTGAGTACTTTCCTCCATAGAAACAATATCTGAAATTCTATGTGGGGACCATGATGGTATAAAGTTCAGTAAGTTCAAACGTCTTCTCTGATGAGCTGGGGATATAGCCTAGTGGCCATGTTTACTAGTGTGCACAAGGCCCTGGGTTCCATCTCCAACACTGCACACACACAAAAATTTTTCCCTTTGACCTTAAAGTAGATTTTTCCCATCTAATTTTAAAATAAATGAGAATATTTTGATGAATCTCTAAGAGTCCTAGAGGCCAGATACTGCCTGCTCTATCTACTGGATCAGAGGAGAGGGAGAAGAGATGGGGTGGGGGTCACCACTTGCTGAGATGTGGAGATAGGCAAGAAAGACACCAGCTCAAGAACTGTGTGGTAAGTTGGGCATGGTGGCACCCTGGGAGGCTGAGTCAGGAAGATTGCAAGTTGAAGCCCAACCTGGACAACTTGGTGACTGAGCGAAACCCTGTCTCAAAAATTAAAACAAAGAAAGGACTGGGATGTAGCTCAGTGAGAAGGTCTTGAGTCCAATCACCAGTATAATAATAATTAATAATAATAAACAGTAACTAACTGGGTGTTTGTAACCACCACCCCCAGGACAGGACTGTTCCTGCAGAACAATACTCAGTAGTCCTCCTTCACCCAACCCAAGGTTTCACTTTTCCAGGTTACACAGTTCCAGGCATCATCCAAGAATCTTGGATTATGGCCCCGAAGATTGGGGGAGTGGAGGCTGGGCGGAGCTATTTCCTTCAACAGGGTTCCTCAGCCTCAGCACTCCTGACACTTAGACTGGACAACTCTTTGCTGTGCTCTGTGTGTGTGGCGGGGCTGGGCAGGGGCTGTGTTCTGCATATGCTATGTGTAGTAGCATTCCTGTCCTCTATTCAGTGGATGCCAGAGTCCCCCTTTTTCCTTTCTGCTTGTGAATATCCAAAGTGTCTCAGACACTGTAAATGGTCTCAGAGAGGGTGGGTCAAATCACCCCTACTGAAGAAAGCATAGCAGTAACAGGATGAACCTGTGCCCCAGAGGGAGCCTTAGCTGTGGGGGGTGGGGCTAGGGAGGAGAGGCAGTTGCCACACCATAACCCCCGTGGAGGTAAAGGAAGCCAGCCCTTCCTCCCCTTGGGCATCAAGCACTGACTCCTAATTCCTTCCTGCCACATGCCTGAGGTTTCCACTGCTGGCATGGAGAAAGGCCAGGACAGCGAATTCCAGAGAGCCAGGGCCGACGGCCAGGTTGCTGGAACAAGTCTACTGATTTAGCCTCAGCTCAGTTTCACAATCATTTTGTTTTCAATTATAAGACAATATCTGTTTGTTTGTTGTTGTTGTTGTTGTTGTTTTTGGTACCGGGGATTGAACTTAGGCTCTTGCGCTTGTGAGGCAGGCGGCGGAACCACTGAGCTAAATCCCGAGCCCCAATATCTGTTTGTTAATCTTCTAATGTTGGGTCCTAAAACAGATGTAGCAGCTGGGCACGGTGGTACATGCCTGTAATCTCGGCAGTCTGGGAGGCTGAGGCAGGAGGATTGCAAGTTGGAGCATAGCATTGGGTAATTTAGAAACTTAACAAGACCCTGTCTCAAATGAAATTTTTTTAAAGTAATTACTAGAAAGGGCTTGAGATGTAGCTCAGTGTGTGAGCCCTAGTTTTAATCCGCAGAATCTAAAAACAAAACAACACAAAACCAACCCTACACAGACGTAAGAGTTTTACTTCACTCTTCTACTTAGCAATCACCTCTCCAGTAAGCGTTCCATGACCTCACCCCCTGAGCCTTAGACTAGAAGAGGCCTGCCCTCTTCAGGGATGTCCTCAGCAGGTTCACTGAAGCGAGGGGCAGACACACAGTCTTTGGGTATGTCCTTGTCCAAAAGGCCCTGAAGTCCTGTACTTTCTCCACCTCCACCTAGTGCTTACTGAATTGTTGAAAAGAATAAAAAAATGCTGAATGAATATCGGGACATCTAATTATTTTTTAAATAAATACCTCACTAATTGATTGGAACTCTTGGGAAACAAGTCTACCCTGTTGAGATTTCTGAGGAGGAGGTGCTGATGCCCCTTGATGCTGGGATTACACAGGAAAAAAGTTAGTTTTCCCTGAAGGGGTCAGGACTGAGTCAAAGACAGACTTGGAGCTTCTGGGGTGAGTGCTGGGCTTTTGACCACTTCCAGTGAGGTTTTCATGGATGTATGAAGGAATCCGTGAAGCACCTCAGAGATAAAGACATAGAAAGCAGAGAGGGGAAAGGAGACCAAGAATGACAGATTGATTGATTGATTGATTGACTGTTCGATTGATTCTGAGCAGGCAAATCTGAGAAGTTCACACAGAGAGAAGGGCAGAAGTGGTTGTCACCTGCAGCTCAATGACCCTAGGCATTTGATGTCACTTCTCCCAGCCTCAGTCTCTCCCTGTAGATCTGTCTAGGATGGTCATAGGGACCTCACAGCTGGAGCATGGGTGGTGCTCTTGCACAAACACACACACACACACACACAGACACACACACGTGTGTGCGTGTGTGTGTGTGAATGATCATAGGGCTGTGGCCACGACAGCTCTGTGCATCCTTCCAGTAAGCCCATCCCTCACCCCTCACCCAGGACCTCTGGGCACCATGACTGGGAAAATGGCTGGTTTTAACCTGTCAGCTTCTTAGCAGAGTGGGGACCAGTGTCCAAGACTATTGATGGCTGAGGAACTTCGGAATATCCCAAGTTCTGTATCAGCATGACCATCTCATCATCAACATTTGCTTCAGAAGAGTTGCCTGAGAAATTGATCCTCCCTGATGCCCCACATGAAAAAAAATTTTTTTAGAGCTTAGAGCTTGAAAAATTTGTCCTCCCTGAACATGGCTGGCTCTTCCCTTGTGATACAAGTGTGTGAGTTCCCTGAAGCCATTGGGTAGAAAGCACAGAGCCCAAGGCGATACTTTTAGCTCAGAGTACAAGCCCTTCTCCAAACACACTTTTTTTCTTCTCACAGTGTGCTTTGCTGTCTATTTCTACTTTGCTTACCTAATTGCTTATAAATACATCTTCTGTTGTAAACTATATCAAGTCATCTATGCCAAGACACGAAGCACAGAAATAAAGCAAGCTGGGACAAAGCACATACAGAGTCCTGTGTGTCAGCCAAGAATCTTTACTACACTGAAGACATCCAGAGAAACAGAGATGCAGAAGCCGAGGGCTTCTAGGTAAGGGTGGAAAAGCCCCATCCCGGGACACATCAGAATAGGGGAGAATCCCAGAAAAACCCCTGGCTGGGAGTCACTGTGCATGTGACTTATTCAGTGGCAGAAGGCTTTCGAGTCCCTTCTGGAGGGGATTTCCTGACCCACACCCTGATTGTGTGTGATGGGATGAGAAGATGGGCCACAACTTCCTCTTCTGGTTGGAGGTCAGTCTCTCAGCTCTCCACAATCTGTAATTTCACCAGAAGACCTAGCTCTGTATGGGCATTGTCATGAAACTTGGCATGCCTACAACTTCACAAAGAACTTCTACTGCACCTCTCGTTTAAGTCTACCAGGGCCCCACCTGGCACAGAGGAAGAGACTCGGGCTCAGCTAAATTGCAGGGCTTGTACATATGAGCACCCTCCTCTTCCCATGTCAAGGTCAGTGGCCTGCAGCTGTGCTCTGTGTAAACAGGGATGGCCCTGCAGCGCCTAGGCACAGGAGGAGGCCTTGGTGTGGCATGGCAGTGATCTCTGAGGTGCAAGTGGATCTCTTGCCCTCCTGACACCATCTCCACCCCACATAGTGGGCATCCCTTCCAGTGCCTGACCCCACCTGACCATTCGCCCATGGCTCGCAGGTACAGTTCCCCAGCTTTCCCCCAATTCGGCCTCGGTGCCCCTGCTCATGCTGTGCTCTATGCACTCTAACCCCTTCCTGAAAAAGGAATGTGTAGGTGCCCAGACCCCTCCCTCCAGCTTGCCACAGGGATGCCCCAAATCTGGAAAACACCACAGTCTTTGGGAAATAGAGTCTACGACTTCTTCCCCCAGGCTCTTTAGCCTCAGATGCAAGCGGCAGGCAGAATTCTGAGGTGAGGGTAAGAGAGGCGATTTTCTCTCAGTGCTCCTCATCTTCCTCAGAGGAGAATGTCAGGCACTCTGCGAGAGACTGAGCCACAGTGGGCAAGGTCTGGCAGCAGCTCTGGCTCCTTGAGAGCCAAGCTCCGTTTCATAGCGGCCCCACCCCCAAATCCCTAGCTTGGCCTCACCGGGCTGCATCCCCGCCCCGTAGGGAGCAACCTTTTTGCCCTGGCTGTGAGCAGTGGCAACCACAGAAGTTCTCCTTCAGTCCTTCCTGCTATTCTTAGGTGGCCAGGTAGGCTGGAGAGAGAGAGAGATGTCGTCCAGGGACTAACTGGACGGGCTGCCAGAGGGGTCTTGTGACGCCTTCTCCAGGGTGTTTCCTCATCTGTGAGACATGAATGAGTGCCTGCTGCATTCGCTTGTAAGGAAGAAATTAAAGCACGCAGTGTCTGAGGCCTCTCAACTGTCTGGTAGAAGTTACTTCTCTCTCTGCTTCCCTTGCTCTTTCTTTTCATTGGATTCAGAAAAGGGCTTCAGAAAAGAGAAAGCCTGGTGCTGAGGAACCTGGAAAATGACACCTTAGGTTCAGCAGAGCCCACCCTGAGTAAAGGTGAGGAATTGGCCGGCACTGCTGACCCTGCCCAGAGAGCCATCTCCACTCTCCTGGCTTTGTGGGTGTCACAGTGAGTGCAAACTCTGTACTAGTTGCAACAGTGACTGAGATGATGACAGCCCTGGAAGATCCAAGGCTGGAGAGAGGAGGGAGCTGCCCACTCCTGCCTGATTATCTGAACCTAATCTAAAGACTGAGCCACTAGTCAGGGCATTGGGGCAGGAGGACACCACCCTGGGCCTCCCCAGCCTCCTTCCTGTGCCCCGTTCCCCCCTCCAGCACTCACCAGGCAGCTGGGGAGTTCACAGTTGGGGATGGCAGAGTTCATGACAATGGGATCCTTGCCCTTCCAGCAGAAGCAGGACAGAGAAGTACCTCTCTGGAAGGAGGTAGGACTGCTTCAAGAGATGGAGTTTAATTTCTCAGTGCCTGACTCAGTTTAGAGGTGGCCAGGCAGGAGAGGCTGCCGTTCCTATCCACCTGCCAGGCCTGTGACGCCTGCCCCCCAGCCTTCTCCTCCAGGGGACCAAGGTGCATTGCGTTGCAGCGAATGTTTCACAATTTGATAAGTTGTGGTCACCATGGCACCCAGAAAACAAGTCAGAGTACAACCCGTCAGGGTGTGGCCTGAGAGCACTTTCAAAAAACCAGGCTCCGGGGGATCGAGGTGAGCATTGAGGTTGAGGCTACAGGATGGGCTTCTGTTTTCTAAGCTGATAACTGGTTGAGTGGGAATGGAAATCGCTGCAAAGACAGCCTGACCACATTGGCCTGAAGAGAGAGACGATGCATGTGGTTCAGGGCATTATTATTACTCCTTGCTCTGGGATTAGCTGTTGTGGCTGCCAGGTGGGGGGCAGGGGCCTCACAAAGCTCAGGTGAAAGCCTGAGGGGAGAAATGCTTCTAATTCTCTGTGGAGTCTCCCCTTAAGATTCAGAACTGGCTCTCCCACCTTTCAGGCAGAGGGGACCAGCCCTGCATAGTTTTGCTATTGTATTCTTCACAGGGTACTTGAAAAGCCCTCATCAAAAACTCTTGGTAAATCCCATCTCAAGAATCCAAATGAGCCATGCAGCAGCTACTGATGATGGTAGAATATTCTAGAATAAGCAGCACTACCGGCTTACAAGGTTCAGGAGACACCATGGCATGACCCACAGAGATGACAATGGACAATGGTCCAAGACAAAGCCTTGAAAACATAACAAAGAAATTGATGGGTCTGACACCTGACTGTCCTTCCCCAACCAGCTAAGTCCCTGAAGTGGCTGTTCCCAGACAATCCCTCAACCTCACACCTCCCTTTGCCTCACTCTTCACCTAAGCCATAGCTCCCCACCCCCATCCATAAAAGACCCAGCTCAATAAATGGCAGTCAGGGTGAAGGGAGGGAGGGGACGAAGGGAAAAAATGAGAACCAAGACCTGCCATGTAAAGGTACAAGATCCCAGTAATGAATGTAACTGTACTGTATACCTAGAATGTACCAATAAATTCAATTTAATTGATAAAAATAAATAAATGGCAGTCAGGGTGAAGGGAGGGAGGGGACGAAGGGAAAAAATGAGAACCAAGACCTGCCATGTAAAGGTACAAGATCCCAGTAATGAATGTAACTGTACTGTATACCTAGAATGTACCAATAAATTCAATTTAATTGATAAAAATAAATAAATGGCAGTCAGGCTGTCCTCTGGTATTCCTCCAGGAGAGCCTGCCTAGAACTCCCAAATTCAGGCTGGCTGCATTCTTTACTGGATTTTCATGCTTTACCTAACAAAACTGTTTGCAGAGGAAGGTGACAGATGTGGCTTAGGCTGTGACAGAGAAGTCAAGACCCAAAGACAGTCATAGCTTGCTTAACTATGCCTAGTGAACCACACCTCGGTGGCTATTACTTTTGTGCACCAATCTTACACAGTAAGATGACCTCCTCTGCAGCCCCTCCTATGAGTCATACCATAAATATACCCTCATTATTACAGCATCTAGACTAAAGGATATTGTGTCTCCCCTTTAAGGCCCAAATCTCTTCTCCATCCGTCACCTATCTGGGCATCATTCTCCACAAATATACCCAAGCCCTTCCTCAAGATCATGTCCACTAATTTCCCAGATTCCAGTTCCTACTACCAAACAACAGCATATCTATCTCAGCATAATAGGATATTTCCATTTCTGGGTTTCCACTTTTGCTCTCCTCAACAAACCCCTCTACAAACTTACAAAAGGACACCCTCCTGAGCCCTTAGATCACAAAGATTTCCCTCACTCATCCTTTAACACCCTAACAGAGGCCCTAAAAATAGACCCCACTTTGACCCTCCCAGGTCTCATGCAACCTTTCAGTCTTTATACAGTAGAATGCAAGGGGTATGAATTAAGTGTTCTGACATAAGGCCCCAGCCCATGGCTGATCATGTTTCTGTCCAAGCAGCTTGATTCCACTATGAAAAATTGGCCACCATGCCTATGAGTCACTGCTGCTGCAGCCCTGCTACTTTAGAGACACTCAAAATCACTAGACATGCTCCACTTACCTTTTATGCTTCCCACAACCTTCAGGGACTCATGTCTTTGTCCCACCTCTCACGCTTTCTCGTTGCTCCTGGCCTTACTCAACTCCATGTGCTTTTCATGGAGACTCTCACAGTTGCAATCACCCTGGTCCCCAACTTTAATCCAGCTGCTTATTTTATCGACCCACCACTCCTTTCCAAAAAGCCTCAATAACATGACTGTGTGTCTCTGATACACCTAGCAATCTCTCCCTTTTCTCACAATTCCACCTTTCCCCTTTCTAATCTTAACCATACCTGGCTTATTAATGGAAGTTCATACAAGCCCTCCCCCAACTCCCCTGCCAGGGTAGGATATGCTATTGTTTCCCAAGACTCTGTTGTAGAGGCCACAGCTCTTCCCCTGTTCACTACCACTCAACAGGCTGAACTAACTACTCCAACTTGTGCTCTTTCTAGCTCAGGAATTAAAAGTTAACGTCTATACAGACTCAAAGTGTTCACTTCATATATTACATAATCATGCTTCCATTTTGGCAGAAAGAAGATTCCTTACCTTCTGGAGGTCTTCAATCATTAATGCCCCTCTCATTAAAGCTCCTCTTCAGGCTGCTGTCCTACCAACATGGGCTGCTGTGCTTCACTGAAGAGGACACAGAAACTTTCAGATCCTATAACTGCCGGAAATGCCTTTACAGATAAAATTGCAAAGGAAGCTGTTTATCTCTCCCTCCAGGCCTCCTTTCTAGCTTTCACTTCAGCCTATTCTCCTAAGCACCAACAATATCAGGACCTTCCCACCAAAGATGGATGGCTCCTAAATCAGGGAAAATTCCTCCTCCGTGCCTCATAGGACCACACCATTCCTTCATTGCTTCATGGCAATTTTCATGCAGGCTACAAACCCCTAACCCATCTGCTTGAGCCTTTTTCCCTTATGGAAGACCCTCCTCAAAACTGTCACAGCTCAATGTTCTGTTTCCCAGGTAACCATGCCCCAGGACTCCCTGGGGCCCCCTCCTTTTCCTACACGTCAGGTGCAAAGTTTTTCTGTAACTCAGGACTGGCACATTAACTTCACTCACATGCCACAAGTGTGAAAGTTAAGATATCTCCTGGTATGAATTGACACCTTCACAGGGTGGATAGAGGTTTTCCCCACAGGCTCAGAAAAAGCTGTGGCAGTTGTTAGTTACCTCCTAACTGATATCATTCCCCCAGCTTAGCCTTCCTACCTCCATTCAAGCAGACAATAGCCCAGCTTTCATTAGCCAAATTAGCCAAGAGATGTCTGAAATCACTTGGTATTCAATGAAAATGTCACTCCTCACTTCCCAGTCTTCCAGGAAGGGCTAATGACCTCTTTAAGGCCCACCTTAATAAGCTCAAGATTCAACTCCATAAAGATTGGGTTTTCCTGCCTCCTGTCGCTCTCCTTCACATCACAGCCATATCCATTTGAGCTTTTATATGGTACAGACCTTTTGAGCTTTTATATGGCTGTACCTTTTCACTTGGGCCACATCTCAGCTGGGAACCTAACCCCATTGGAGACTACCTCTCACTCCTACTACAAGTCCAAAAAGATATAAGACATGCCACTAATCTTCTCTTGCCCTTTCCCAACACCCAGCCTCATGAAGACGACCTGGCTAATAAATGGATTTTAATAAAAAACTTAAATCTCCAGTCCCTACAGCCTAAATGGAAATGGTGGTGCATCCCCAGGATCTTCCTCAGTGGGTTCATCTGTCTCAAGTGAAGATGTGCCCAGTTGACAACCTGCCTGACCCCTCCTTGTGGAAATCAAAAGTAATCTCTTCAACTTCCATTGCGCTGACTTGAATTCTGGAGGATATAAAAAATGCCTTGCTTTTGTATGTCTTGTCATTTTATTTACTTTCTCCATGAAGTCTGCTTTGACCTTACTTGGTTTCACCCCTAAACTTCCACTCTAGAGACATCTTATGTGGATAGAAGATTTTTGCTTTCAGGGCACTCTGTGTGGCTTTTACTCAGAAAAAGTTGAGTATTTTTCCTTCCTTCTCACCCTCTTCCTGTTTGACAATTAATAGCAAGGACATTAAACATCATCCGTTTAAAGCTCTGAGTTAATTATCTTTTGCCTCAGATAAAGAATTATTTCTTACACTCATGCTTGTTATCATTGCCCTACGTAAACCTCTCCCTTCCTCCTCCCTATGCCCTTTGACTCAGTTAGCCTTCCTCTTTTTTCTTTTCCCAAGCCCCACTCCAGCCATGCCCCCCCCCATTATCTTTACAAAATCCCTCTGGCACCAAAAAGTCTAGTGATTGTCCATACACCGGAACAGATTGCTCTTTGGCACCCAAGACATAAATACTGCTTAAGATTATAGCCCCCCAAATCTATATAAGCATAGTTTTCCTTCCCTGCTAGCTGCTAGAATCTCTCTCTGATTTTAGTCCCTGATTTTAGTCTCTGTTCACTGGAATAAACTTTTCTTTTTCACAACAAAAGGGCCTGTTTAAATGAGTGGATTCCTGTGCACCATCTATAACAGTAAGTATGTATCTAAACGTATCTTAACATGTTAAAAATACAATAAAAATACTAGACAATAGGAAATTTTCAGCTCTATTACAATCTTACCGGACTGCAATCATAAGTGATCACTGGCCAGATCATTGTTATGCTGTATGTGACTGCACATTTGCCAGTTCTTTATTTTTATTACACTAATTTTATTTGGGTCTTCAGTCATTTGCAACTAAAATTCCAATCTTCAAATTTAAAGTATTCATATCCAATCCTAGGCCTCTTCTTTTCTAGAATTACATAGCACTTGGTAATTTTTCATGGTTTATTAACAATATTTGTTGAATTCCAAGAGCATCAAAAGTGAACTATTGCTAACAACCTCAAAATACTTTTCCACAGCAGAAGTGGTTGTCTAAAATGTGACAAAAACAATCGGAATATTAGGAAACAATTTAAAGGTTGTTTGCCCATAAAATATTTCATTCAAATGTGTAAGATATTTCTTCTTTAATGACTGAGTTCTGTTTCTGCTAGCAGGTTGTTTAATGAATTGGTCACTAAATAAGGAATTGTATATAGTACATATTTTACAATATTTAGAACAAATAAATGGTCAAAGGAAACTCCAACTTAATGACCTTGGTTTTATCTGCATAACTCTTACATGCAGTACTGTGATGCATAACAGAGCATAAAACTACAGTACAGTACTGTACAGCACAGTCAGCAAAAATCATAGTACTATTCTTTAGAAGCCACCATAAGGCCACATCACTGATCATATTCCTGCACCTGAAGTCCAAATGTGAGTCATAAATCTGAACAGTCATTAAACAGGTAGATTGTTAAATGAGGAACATCTGTACATAATTTCACACACTTGATATGAAAAAAGGAAAAACTATTAGTCACAGCAGCTCAGGTCTTCAAACACCCTTCCAAAGCTCTGGCTTGTTCCCCCAGAATGGGATTTATGGAATTCTAGATTTGGATTTGCAAAATTATTGCCTTCAGATTTTGACAGGTGCAGCTTGGGAAAGTTGCTTTCAGTGGCTCACAGAATGCTTGACTTATCAATTCATAATCCACCTAATTTCCAGCTTTTGCTTAATTGAATCTCAGTTTAGAGTACAGAGGTTGGAAAACTATAGCTAATGGAGCAGATCTGATCTATTGATTACTTTTGTTTGTAAAGTTCTGTCAAACATGCCCAGTCCTACTATTTATTCATTACACCTTTGTACCATAGACACAGTGTTGAGCAGTAGTAACAAGAGCCTAAAATAATTTGCTGTATGGTCCTTTTCAAAAAAAAAAAAAGTTTTCTGATCCTGTTCTTAGAATACCAATTCAAAAACTTAAGTTTTTTAATTAAACTTTTTTTAGAGTTTAGTTTCACAGCAAACTTGAGCAGAAAGTACAGAGGGTTCCCAGACACACACACATTACACACAGACACAGAGTCTAGGCCCCCATCAGTATGTCTCATCTATTTCAGTGGATGAGCCCACAGGGCCTCACTATTACCCACAAATTGAATTTTAAAAATTCAATCTATAGTCACTAACTTATTTTTTCTTTACTTGTTATTAAATAATGGACAGTGTAGGCATGACAAATAAACAGAAAGAACTAGGATAACTTGTACTTTTTTAAAATTGTATTTTCTCCTCTTCAACTGATACCAGCTTCCCTATGCTCTTCTGGGACCACACGTATTTCAGGCCTCTCTTTGAGCTCCATCTTGCAGAATGCAGACATTACTCCAGGGCGGCTTAACAGACACAGGTAGAGTAGGAGGCAATTTGTCATTTGCAATCCTTTGTCTTAGAGCTTGTGTAACTAACTGCTTCTGCTAATCCTTCAGTTGGTCTGTCTACATTCTGGGAAGTAGAAATCAAAATTATGAAAGTTGGAAGAAACCACAGAAAAAAGTAAGGACCAGAGAAGGAGGAACTGACCTTGTGCAGTCTTACCATTTCAGAGAATGACTCCAATGTCCACCCAATGACCCAGGCCACAGCCCGGCCGTCGTCCTTGGTTACTTGTCAGCCATATGCAGTTCTTACCATGTTCTGCCAACTTCACCTCCTAAATATTACTCATGTATGTATATTTCTAATAGCAACTATAGTAACCTCATCTAAGCCACCTTCTTCCTTCCTCTTTTAATTCCCATCAGCTTCTTTTTTTCCATCAGCTTCTCTTTTTGTCACATGACAGCCTATTTTCCTCTTCCAGTTGACTTGAAGCACCGTAGTCCAGATAAACTCTTAAAACATAAATCTGGTCATGTCCTTCTCTCTTAAAACTATTCTCTTTCCCTTGAAAGATAAAGTGAAACTAATCCTTAGCATGTCCCATGACGTCCTTTAGAGCTGTCCCCTCTAAACCACAGTGCCCACCATTTGCCCTACTACATCTTTGTCCAGAGCACAATAGGTACACGTCCAGACTGAATCCAGTTGAATTAAATTATGTGAGGTTATCCATCTCATCTCAGTCACTAAATTGTGTCCCTGATCTCTTGAGCCAGGTCTTTGTTAGAAAGAGGTGGGTCTTAACACCCTTCTTCCACTATCTAAGGTTTTGGTTACAAAACAACAGAGGTTTTCTGAAAGCACAGGCCAGGTTCTGGTCTCCGGAGCCTGAGCTCAGGACTGACAATGTAGGAGTAGTACTCACATGCTGGGAAGACCCTGAGGCAGGCACTGCTGCTGTGGCCATAGGGACAGGCACAGGACTGGCTTTTCTCTAAAACTTTGGGAATCCCCTTATCTATTTTAGATGATAGAGCACTCCTCAGAGAGATACATGGGTTAGCCAAGGTCTTACACCTCCTTACTTTGAAAAACTATATCTGGGATGTTCAGTTTATTGGTTTTACAGTCAAGACATGTTCCCCTGATCTGCTTCCGGTCATAGAGAACAAAGTTGAATCACTATTCGAAGCTGGCCAGCAGAGGGTAGGACAGATCTGTATTCCAAGAGTGTCAGTGGGAACGTAGCATGGCATCCTTGAGATTGGGGTGTTGCCTGATAGAATTGCTCCCTGGGGCTTTTGCCCAGAAATACATGTTCTGTAGCACTGGAGGCCACTCTATTCTGGTGTTAGCTCACCTCATTCTAGCCAGTTGCTCTGAGCTGCTCTAAAAACCCCCTGGGCCCAGGCCTCTGCCCTCTCCTTTTGGCTCCTATAGTCTTAAGGGAGATTTGTGGTTACTCTACAGTTCCAGGGTTCCCTGTGGGGGCTGAGAGGGATGTCAGCTAACAGTACTGACTTGTCCCTGCAAGGGGCAGTGCTATGGCCCTGGAGTCCTGGAAGGTGAGCCCACCTACACCGACACATTGTGAGGCCACTCCACGCACAGGAGCCATGATAGAGCCATTGTCTCTGAACTTTTCCATGATGTCTCTGTCCCACTAACTCCTGAGCCCTCCAAGGATGGCTTCCTCTCTCACTAATGTCCCGCCTGGCTCCATCTTTTTTGCCACGTACTTCCTTCAGGGGAAGGTGCCAAGGACC